TAACCTCTCTTCTGCAGCTTCTAATGCTATCTTAGCGAGTTCATATTCTCTAAATTCTCTCTTTAAATCTTCTTGTTCCCATTGGTCTAGTTCGTATGGCGAGTCTCTATAACCAGAACATATCTCACGTTCATGTTCTATTTGTTTTTCATGCATTTTTCTAACTTCTTCTTCGAACAAAGGTTTAGCATTTTCTACTGTATCTTCAAGTTCTTCTTCATCTAACTTCTCATGAACTTTCTTGTCTATGGAATCCAAAATTTTTCCAACTGCTATACAATATTTTGGAGAAGCCCACATTGCTATATAGTTTACAAGTCTTGGGTCTACATACGTTCCTCTAACCTGTTTGATTTCATCAGGAATTCCTGCATGAACTGTGTATAAAAAGCAACCCGCGGAATTCCGCGGGTTGGTATATTCTTCACAAAATGCCTCAAAATACTCTTCCCAGGACTTATTTTCCAACAACCTTCTAAAGTCTTTCCTAAACTGCTGACACATCTTTGTTGCATTTATATAACCATCCTTGTCTCTACGTAAGACTTCAATACCGTTGTAAGTGCCTTTTGTGAATGTTTCGCCATTAGATTTGTTCGTGAACGTTTTTGCTTCGACTGTCATACTGTTCTTACAATAAAAATAAAAAAATATTTTTGAGTGGTACGTCGGACATTCGTTTGTGGCTTAACCGTCGGACCACAACGATAAAAATCTCTGCTACTAGCAGTACTGCTACTGACAGTAGCAGTACTTTTTCTGACAGTAGCAGTACTTTTACTGACAGTAGCAGTACTTTTTCTGACAGTAGCAGTACTTTTACTGACAGTAGCAGTACTTTTACTGACAGTAGCAGTACTTTATCGTCGAAAACCCTCTCAAATTTTCCTTTTTACTGCAACTAGCAGTACTTTTACTGACAGTAGCAGTACTTTTACTGACAGTAGCAGTACTTTTACTGACAGTAGCAGTACTTTTTCTGACAGTAGCAGTACTTTTACTGACAGTAGCAGTACTTTTACTGACAGTAGCAGTACTGCTAGTAGCAGAGATTTTTATCGTCCAACTTTACAAATGTAAACTCCTATCGTTCTATTTTCTTCACTAGGGTCTAACACCAAAGTAACCTATGTACATGAAATTTCACTGCATAAAAGGAAAAAAACCTGGGCGAATCGGGATTTGAACCGAGGTCTTCGACGCCTTTAACGAGGTAGCCCATACCACTGAGCTATGAGCCGCTTGCATATTTTTAAGTAAAATATAGTATATTTGTCATACAGTGAAGGATGACCAAACTTAAAAAAATAAAGTTAGTTTTATTTTTTTCTATCTTAAGGAAATTCATGAAAATTCACCTGTTGAATTTTGTATAAAAAGTAACCCGCTGTTTTCCGCGGGTTGGTATATTCTTCACAAAATGCTTGTTTTGAGGTCGAGCCACTTTTGGCTCCACCTCTTTTTTCAACCAAAACTCATTTTTGTCGAATTCAGCACAAATTTCATGAAAATTCAAGAGGTGAAAAAACAGGTGAAAAAAGAGGTGAAATCTCACCTCTTCACCTAAAATATATTTTTCAATACTTTTTCAGCACTTTTCCGTAGTTGTATATGAAAGACAATTCGAGATAAAAGTCATAGTACAATGGTATTATATGCTGCACACCATTTGTTGTGAACCAGACTTGAAAGTCAGAGAAACTGTTACTAGGTGGTTCGTAGAATTTAGAAGCAAAGTCATAAAAGTCCTTACCAATACATAGAAAACTATTGTTGCTTGAACTGAAACTTGCATGACACATGACATTTTGAGGGTCAAACACGTTTCTATAAACTGTCAAATCTGTTGGTGGGCGTATAAATTTAAACGGACCGTCAGGTGGTAATGGTTCGTTCTGGTTTAGTAACCGAAGAAATTGTGCCCAAGAACGTTTGTCTACTTCCCAAAATAAAAACTCTGTACTTCTTCGAGGGTTATTTTCAATCCTTTGAAATGAAACTGTGGAGTTCATCTTGTCATATTCTAGTTTCAGATAGTAAGTTCCGTTTAGTAGAGAGTCGTATTTTTCTTGCAATTCCCAATAATATTTGTTTATTTGAGTTTGAAAGTCATTTAGAGTCTTCTCAAGGTTTTCGTCTGAACGAATTGTAAAGATTCTCATTTCGTCAAATTTGTCTATTAGACCATCAGAACCTCTATACTGCCCATGAAAATATACTGCAAACATAAACGCGTTAGTTCTATTTGAAAACAAAACTCTTCTAAATCCTATTGCCTTTGCATCTGAAGGACTTTGAAGCCAACGAATTGGAAAGTCAAACCTGTAAGCACCGGATGAAATTTCTTCATCTGAAATAGTCCTACCAGCGTTTGTAAAGATATAGTCTAACGGTTTTGTATCTGCTACTTTTGTTCTTTGTTTTTCAACCTGAAACATTTAATATATGTAAAAATATACTGTTTTAAAAAATGTTTTTACTTCATGCAATTTCATATTTCTCATCTAACAAACATGTTGTCTGACTGCTTGAGGGTTAGGTTGGTACCATTCGAACTTGACACTTGCAATTCCTTCAATTGCATTCAAAATGTCTGAGTCGGAGTCAACCATTTGTTCTCTCTTTGTAGTCTTGAAAGCGTCAAGAAGCATTGCAGCTGTTGTGACATTGCCATGCGCATAGTATATATGACCGTCCAAATCTGTTATGGTCAATCTGAGATTGTATCCTTTCTTATTTCCGTCTTGAATGGCAGCAAGTACTCCCATGAAGCCTTCTTTGTTCTTTCCTTCGTCAAAGTTTACTGTAAAGGTTCGACCTGAACCAATTTGACTTCTAACTTCGCGATACTTTTCATATGCATATCTTGTTCTTTCCATGGGAGCATGACCATCCTCTGCACTACCTTTTTTCCGTCTCAAGGGATGCAATTGTTCGTCATGTTTCCAGTAGAATCTGGCAAAGCCGTCGTGTCCTTCAACTTGCGGTTCATTAACATCGAAAGGCATGTCCATAAGACGTTCTTCTTCTAACCTCTCTAGTCTGTTTGGATAATTTGCACGTGCTGTTTCCAAATCCATTTCGTAGCGAAGACCAGACAATTTGTCATAGACTTTTATGGGTCTTCCCTTCCTATATTTAAACTTCTTCGAAACTCTCCAACCATATCTTTCTAACTCTGCTTTTTTCTAGCAGACTTTCTATCCATTCTATATGGGGGCATTTCAAATAAAATAAAAAAATATTTTTTTCTTTACTTTACATAACCACCAGCTGCCAAAAGTCTTTGACGCCAACCCATACCAGCTAATGAAGGTTGACTTGGTTTAGTCTGGAGACTAACCTTTGGTTTTGGTTTATCTTCAGTTTTTGGTTTTTCTTCTTCTATTGGTTTTTCGCCACTTTTCGGTTCATCTGACTTTACTTCACTTGCAGGTATGGTTGTGTCGTCAACATCTTCATAAATATCATATGCCATTTGTTTTTGTTTTCCTTTCAACTTTTTGTGTTTGTTGTAAAGTTTAGAATATTTCGACTCTAAGTCAATGAGATGTTCTATAATGAACTGTTCGTCGGTAAAATATACTTTTCCATCTGTTGTCTCTTTAACTCCTTCAGACTTCAATATTTTATTTGTGAGAGTCTGTTTCTTTTTTGAGATACTAGCCGTTCCATTTCTATGAAAAGTGACTTTGTAGTTAGGGTTTGTATTTCCAGACCTGGCACTTTCTATTATTGAATTTTTCTCTTCATCTGTAAGTTCTTTGACAGGTTTTGACAATGGTTCTGAACTTTTTTGTTTGGTGTCAAATCTACCGTTTCAACTTCTTCGGTCATTTCATCTCAGTAAAAATTTTAGTTTGGTTTGTTTTCAACTGGTTGTTTAGGTTTTTTAAGTCGGTCTAAAACTTCCTGAGGTATAGGAAGAACTTGACAAACACGTGGTTGTGTAACTGCTGGAAGTCGACAAATCCATCTTGAACCCATTTGTCTCAATGCTGTATTGTTCATTTCATCTCAGTAAAAAAATTTACATTCCCCACGTTTGAGGCGGTTGCGGTTGGTTGTTGTTTACCCACTGTTGTGCATGGTTATATCCTCTGTTAAAGAATCTTTCACCTTGGTCCATATAGTGTCCTGCTTGGTTATAGTAGTCATTTGCTTTGTTATAGTAGTTTCCTGCTTCTCTTCCTACATTGTCCATCCATCCTTGAACTTTTCCTCTTGTTTCAGGATTTGGAATAAGATTTGCTGCATCTCGTGCTACCTCCCAACCTTTCTGTACAGTTTGTATAATAGGCTGAGCTTTCTCTTTCAGTATACCTAATGTACTCAAAATCTTCCTTCCAACTCCAAATACACCTCTGGCTATTGTTCCCACTGCGGGCAAAAATCTGGATGCAACTCCTGCTAATGCGCCAAATAAACCCATTTCTTATGGGTTAAAAAATGACGAATCCAAACAAGGACCCCTATGTTTCTAAGGCAACAAAGAAAGCGCTCATGGTAAAAATCTTTAGTTCAACACCAAATGCTTGGTTTATGGATATCTTGGAAAACATTCCGAGATATAGAGAAGATGGACCACCATACTGGCTAATATTTGTCGGTCAAAACACAAGATACTGTGAAGCCATACCATTACAGTCCAAAAATATTTTAGATGTGAAAACTGCTTTGACAATATTCGTTGACAAATACCATCCAACAAAACTGACATCTGACTGTGAAAGTTCTTTCAAATCAGACGATATTAAAAACTATCTGCGTTCAAAAAATGTAAACCAATATTTCATTGTCGACCAAAACCATTCTGCTCTTGGTGTCATTGACAGTTGTATAAAAATCTTAAGAGACTTAAATCAACCACAAGGTGGTGAGGTAGATGAAATGTCATATGACGACAAATATAGACACTTCTCCATGGCAAAGATGAGACAAGTTTTAAATATTTACAATAGCCGTAAACAAAAAGGTTTGGGAAACCACTCCCCGAAGAAATGAAAAACAACCCCGACTTAGAGAAAGACTATATATTTAATAGTTTAGTCAAAAGAGACAAACAAGAAAGAATGCCAGGCTTCAAACTTAAGAAAGGTGACAAAGTAAAAATAGAAATACCTAAACGCGACCCATATGAAAATACTATTGACTATGACAACAATGGGAACTCGACAGGTACTCGCATTCGTGTTCGTAAAAATAGAAGAAAGTATACAAGAGAATATTATGAAGTTTTAGGCAAACATGGCAAAATGTACAAACTGCAAGCAGAAGATAAAACTACTATTGTCAGACCTCGTTTCAAACTTGTTAAGGTTCAAGGTGGTATACTTTCAAAGACAGTTCCTAACAAATATAAGACAACTCCAGACGAATATGCTAAAGAAGTTGAAAATGACGACTAAGCAATTCTATACCATGCGTAAACTGTCATGTAAGGTGGCATGTAGTCTTTACTCTGTCCCGTTGTTTGCGTATATCCTGAAACGAAATGTGTATGGTTTCCTTCTCCCTGCGTGTCATCCCAGTAACAATTTATAGCAAACTTAACGTCGTCTTTAACATCATATCCTTTACCTTTTGTCATTCCTGACCAATCCCAATATCTATGCTTATGCCAACCTGCTTGAGATGTACTTAAATCTATGTAGTGACTATGTGCAGGTAAGTTTTCACCTGAAATCGTTTTACTTCCACCTGTTTCCTTTGAAGAGTTTGCACAATACAAAAACCTGTCGACTATTTGTTCCCATGCACCAACACCAAACATTGCTTGAGGACCTCTTGCTTCCATTGACGTGTAAATAGAACCTACTGGGTTCATTAAATCAAACATATGAGATATTATAGGATTGTCTCTTTTGAACTTAAAATATAGTGCAACTATTTCAGGTTTCTTCTGGTTCATGTCAGAATATTTTTTATAATATAATCTTATGTTTTCAGGGTAGGTAAAGTCTTGACTATAATATTTATTTCTGTCATCTGTATAATAGTATACTATTCTCGTTTTTTCTATTGCATTATATCTTTTATATCTATAAAAATCTAAATATAATGTTAGCTTTTGTTCATCTACATGTGGTGTTCTTTCGTCATCTCCATAGTCATAATAGTATGGTGCTGGAGCTGGGTCAGGCAATGTCATATCTGCCATTTCATAAACTCTTAAATATTTCTTTTGTTCGTCTCCATATATGTTTAAGTAACAGTTGTTGTCTAATGGAACTTTAACTTGTGTACCATCGTTCTTTTTATAGCTTACATACATTTCATTGTTATTTTTCGGAATGAGTTTATACCGTGTACCATTTTCTAAGGACTGTACCAACTGCCATCTAAAATATTTATTTTCTTCATTGACAGAAAAGTCACCAACAATAGTTTCAATATTTTTTGTTCCAACTAAACTTTGGTATATTTCATTGACATATGTTTTATCTGCTTTATTTTCAAGGCTAACGTTTAAGTCTGTTATTTCAGAAGATGTATGTGTATGTCCAACGTCACTTTTCCTGTTTAAGGTTTCTTGTAAGTTTGCAATATTTGCAATGGTATGTGTATGTCCAACGTCACTTTTCCTGTTTAAGGTTTCTTGTAAGTTTGCAATATTTGCAATGGTATGTGTATGTCCAACGTCACTTTTCCTGTTTAAGGTTTCTTGTAAGTTTGCAATATTTGCAATGGTATGTGTATGTCCAACGTCACTTTTCCTGTTTAAGGTTTCTTGTAAGTTTGTTATTTCAGATATAGTATGTGTATGAGTCTTTTTAGAATATTCGTTTTCAGCTCTTGTCACTTCACTTGACATTTTATTGTCAACATATGTTTTGTCTGCTAGTTCAGGATGAGTATGTTCTTTTGTTGCATAAGCTTTGTTAGCTCTTTCTTCTTCTTTTGCTATTGCATCGTCTACATATTCTTTGTCAGCTTTGTTGCCAACATCTGCTTTCAAAAGAAGTTCATCTATAGGTTTCTCGTTTAAAGTTCCTTTTGTTGGATTTATACAAACAGTATGGTTCCTATTGTCTTGAAATAGAAACTCATCTGTCATTGGGTTTAATGTCAGTTTTAAGTTTCCTTCTTTCAATGACTCAGATATCTTAGAATAGTTTGAAAAGTTTGTTGTGTTCTTATTTAGAGCTTGCAAAATGAGTTGTCGGTTGTGTTTTATTTCTCTCATAGACGCTGTTTCTTTCGACATTTTTATTCTAGATAAAATATGCTTTCAATAGAAAAAGAAAATTCAAGAGTTGCTACAACTAAACCATTAGATGAACTTTTTACTAACGTCGGTCAAAAGTTTGAGACAGAGACCGTAAAGCATGAAGGCTATCGTTTTGACTACCCCTTAAGATGGTTAAGAGACCCATCCGTCACAAAAGCTATTGGCTTTCGTAGAATGAAATTCATTTCAGAAGCCATACATGGTTTCCCATTTACGGTCGCTTTTGAAATTCGATACTATAACAAAGAAAAACGTACGTATGAGAAATTTGAACAGGGAAAACTTTTACAAGTTAGTTTGCTTGTAAACTTAGAAACAACTCTTCAAGCTTTTCAAGAAAAAATAAACGATATCTATCTCGAATATGCAAAACAGTACAACATTGACGAAGGAGAGTACCATCTCGATATTATATATGACAGGAAAAATGCAACTGTTAAAATCAATAGAATAGAAGACCTTGGAGAAGACGTTTATATTTCTACAAAATATAACAACTTGGCATGGTATAGATTTTTGAGGATGTTAAATCAGCCTGCAGAATATCCAGTACACCCGAACTTTTATGAAGTCGAAAACCCTAATGGAACATATGAAAATGTTTTCGACTCAGATGCTATTATAGTTCATGCTTCATTTTCTGGTGCACAAAACTCTTTTTTATGCTTGGCAAATGACTTTTACGAAAAACCTACAAAGCTATATGAACCACCGAGTGGAAGTATTTCAGACTTTCAAGTATGGTTTACTACAGATGGAAGAAAGAGAATAATTCCATTATACCACGCGTTTTACTTAGAACTTAGTTTCATATACAACTACTATCGAACGGTAAAAATATGATTTTTTAATACGGTTGAGGTGTTGGATTTGGTTGCCAACTAGACTGTGGTGCAGGTTCAGGCTGTTGTATAACAGGAGCTTGCTCTTCTGGTTCAGGGTCTTTAGGTATAATACCAACGAACTGACCTACTCTTTTGCCAATATTTTTGACTCCGTTCCAAATTCCTCTTCCTACGGTTTTTATTCCATTCCATATACCTCTTCCAACATTTCGAAAGAAGTTTCCAATACTACTGAAGAAACCCATTTTACTATATGTAAAAATCTAATGTCCGCCTAGTCTCTTACGTTTCCTGTTGAGTTCCATAGCATTCTTTAACTGGAGCTCATACATTCTATTTCTCCTCTGGTAGAAAACATACTCTGGGTCAACTCCTGTGTTCGCGTCATCTGCATAGAGTTGTTTATATCCCACTTCAGGGTTTGTATAAAACTCTTTCCATCTCATATTTGCATACCATGGTGGCAAACCTAACGCAGCGTCATTTGACATGGCAGTTTGCATTTGTACATCTGTTGGCACTTGACCATAGTTTGCCATTGCAGTTTGTATTCTAACTTCATTTGGAATATTCTCTGGGTTTGGTTGTCCAGGTTGCTGTGCATTCGCTAAGTTCTGTGCGTCCATTTAATATTAGATAAAAATATCTCTTACGAGTACATATACTGAACATTTGCAGGCATTGGTTCATCTTCATATTCTCTGTACTTTTCTGCCACGTCAAATAAGTAAATGACACAATGGAAAAAACCTAAAACAAGTAGTCCTATTTCAAACCACATTTACTTACCAATAAAATTTCTTTGTTATGACACTTTCTCCAGTTTATAGGACCTCTCTCATATTCTATCTTATCGTATCTAAACTCATAGTCATGTATGTCCTCTAACCATCTCATGACACTTTCCAAACCACTTTTATCGGATGTAAAGTAAAAGCATGGATGGTTATGTAAAACGTCTAAAGTTTCTAAAGAGTCTCTCAAAGTCCAGTCTACTTGGTATTGAAAATCATATGTGTTATAGAACGGCGGGTCCACTATAAAGAAAACATTTTCCTTGTCTTTATATTTTTCATACAACTCTGTCCAATGACATCTCACAAACTCTATACCCTCAGTATATTTTTCTATGTTCTCTTTGAAAACCTTTGTATAGTTAAGATATAAAACGTTTGACATAAGTGTTTCAATGTCATGAACTCTTATAGAACCACTATATAATAGTCTAGAAGATATACTATCCCAGTCAATATACTCTGCCTTTTTCAAAACCTCTCTGACAGTATTTTTCTTATCTAATGGTATACGTTCCATCTTACCTATAGGTATCTTTTCTTTTAACTCTTTCAATATTTTGTTTGTGTCTGGTATATGTTTGAGACGGTTCATATAGTTGTCGAAGTCATTGCATATAATCTTTGAGTCAGGAAATACAGTATGGCACAAATGGGATATATAGAAACTTCCACCGAACAAGTCTACAAATGTTAGACCATTCGGTAGTTTCTTAAGTTCTCTCAATAGAATATCTTTACATCTACTCTTATTTCCAAAGAAGGGTAACGGTGGTTTTGTAAAATTCATTTTATATATATAATAAAAAATGTTTTTTCCTGAAAAGTGACAGATGTTTTATTGTGACTTCTTCGTAAAGACTTTGTTGAGATTTCTTCGTAAAGACTTTGTTGAGATTTCTTCGTAAAGACTTTGTTGAGATTTCTTCGTAAATGACCCAAAAATATATTTTAGGTGAAGAGGTGAGATTTCACCTCTTTTTTCACCTCATTTCTCACCTCTTGAATTTTCATGAATTTCTTCGTAAAGACTTTGTTAAGACTTCTTCATCTAATTTCTCATGAACTTTCTTGTCTATGTTTTGTCAAGATTTCATCGTAAAGACTTTGTTGAGATTTCTTCGTAAATGACCCTAGTAGTATATTTTTGGTGTAAATTTCATGAAAATTCAAGAGGGTGAAAAATTAGGTGAAAAAACAGGTGAAATCTCACCTCTTCACCTAAAATATATTTTTGGTGTAAATTTCATGAAAATTCAAGAGGGTAGAAAAGAGGGTAGAAAACAGGTGAAATCTACCCTTCTACCCTAAAATATATTTTTGTCTGATTTTACGAAGAAGTCTTGACAAAACATTTACGAAGAAGAAGTCTTGACAAAACATTTACGAAGAAGTCTTGACAAAACATTTACGAAGAAGAAGTCTTGACAAAACATTTACGAAGAAGAAGTCTTGACAAAACATTTACGAAGAAGTCTTGACAAAGTCTTTACGATGAAATCTTGACAAAGTCTTTACGATGAAATCTTGACAAAGTCTTTACGATGAAATCTTGACAAAGTCTTTACGATGAAATTCATGAAAATTCAAGAGGTGAAAAATGAGGTGAAAAAACAGGTGAAATCTCACCTCTTCACCTAAAATATATTTTTATTGAATTCTGTATAATATTCTGAGTAATATGACAGATGTTTATATAACACTTCTCCGGTTTATAGGACCTCTCTCATATTCTATCTTGTCATATCAAAACTCATAGTCATGTTTGTCCTCTAAGACTTCATTTATACTAAACATCTTCAGGGCTAGAAGGCACGAAGTGCCTGGAAGCCCCACTCCCTTTTTTTTTTTTTTTTTTTTTTTTTAATCCTAAGTAGCTTTTGTAAAAATTCATCAAAAAAATTTTAACGTGCTTTAATTTTTTATTTTTTAAAATAATACATATTATTATATAACTAGAATATTTACAAATTTTACTGCTTTCAAAAATTTAATCCTCCTCCTCTCAAATAAACGTACATCCGGGTGGCCTGTTTTTTGCAAAAAATAAAATTTAATTTTTTATGCTTCAAAAGTCAGAATTTTTATTTGCTTCTGGGATATATGATGGCTATATCAGACGCCCATTCTTTTTGATACTCAACATTAAACATAAAACTTAGCCGTTAAGGCTCTTCTGAAAATATTTTTTTTCGAAAAATTTGCGAAAAAAATCAAAAAATTTAAAAATCCCCGAATCTGCAGGGATTTTAAAATAGTTTAGTCGGTTTTTGCATTTTTAAAATGTTAGTCACCTTTCTCCTTCCAAAGTGAAAAAAAATTGTTTAAAATATAAAAAGAATTTTTATTCGCATAGGCGACAAACAAGGATTTATAAATAAATAATGGGGCTTTGAGTATTGATCTGAATTGAATCAGATAATTAGCCGTAAAAAATCTTCTAATAACGATTTCTCATGCATGAAAGATGGCTATGAGTGGCGTTAATGAGGGCGTTTGATAATTGGAGTTGGACATAAAATTTGGAGATCTTAATTTTTGAGAATTTTGGTGCGATCTTACTGGTACAAGCAAGAGTATGGAAGGAGATTGAACTGAGAAAAAAACTAGAGCATGCAAAAGAATCATGCTACAGCTTAGTTGAATGTCATTTATGCAAATAAAAATATCTTTTTCAAATTTCAAACAAATTTTTGCCACTTTTTGAAAGAAGATAAGGTAACAAACATTTTAAAATGCAAAATCTAGACTTAAACTATGCCGAAATGTGAGCTCACCGTTACGGTTTTTTCTTTTTTTGGGGGCTCGCAAGCTCGCCCCCAAAGAAAAAACCGTAACGGTGAGCTCACATTTAGGAAAAATTCTTTTTAGTAAAACTTAAGGATATTGTATCAGATATATTGGTATGGGCAAATTCAATTTTAATACAATATTCATCGAGATATTGCGCTAACGAAGCGTTCAAAATTGAGAGGGTAATCCTCCTACTCTCAAATAAACGTACATGCGGGTGCACCCTTAAGGGTGCACTTACGCCCCTATGACACGATCTTCAATTCAGATGTATAAGGTTAATTTTCAATAACGCTTCACGCCAGTTGTCATAAATTTGAATTAAAGTCAGATGGGCGTAAGTGCAGCCTTAATATCGATGGTCCATATGATTGTGATAGAGATTCTACTCATAATGCATATTCGTGATCACATTAAAAGCAGATAAGTATGAAAGAGAAGCATCAAATGTAGGAACATTATTTTTTGTGCCATTAGAATTAATATGCTAAATGATGAAGAGTGGTCTGCCTATAGTTATCTTTTTTATTGATATTTGCACCATGCTGAAGAAGAAGTTCTGCTATTTCTTTTCCATCATATTTTGCTGCAGTATGAAGAGCTGTTTTTCCATTTTCATCATTTTCATTGATTTTTAGACCAAGATATATAAGAACTTCAGCTGTTTCTTTACTATTAAAATAGCTGTAATATGAAGAGTTATTATTCTACTATCATCTTTTTCATTGAAATTTGTACCATGTGAAAAAAGAAGCTACGCTATGTCTTTTTTATTATGTTTTGCTGTAAAATTTCATTATACATCTATTTCATTGATATTTGCAAAATGTGGAGGCAACTCCAATCAGAGAGAATTTTAATTTTGGTTTTTGATGTTTCAAACATTCACCAATGATTTCTTCCTAAAAATGATAATTGTAAGAATGTTTCAGTTCTCATGAATTTGAAACAATCAACCAATTTTTTTTATTTTTATTTTTTTTTAAATTCGATTATATTTTGGGAAGATATTTCGGGTATACATGCATCAATCAAATTGTTAATTTTAAATAAATGAAAAAAAAAGTATTTCAATACAAAAACATAATTTTGGACATGTATTGCGAGATTAATCAAAATATCAACAACTCGCAATATTGTAAACAAACGATATAATCTTATCACCCAAAGCCAAGATTGAAAATATCTTCGAATTATAGGGAGGCAAATTTGGATGATTATATGGAGGTTTCCCAAAACTCTTAAAATTCCAAATTTCCAAAATTTTCCAAAATCATTAACTATGAAAATAGTTTTTGTTATAACTTTCAAAGTGTTGGACTGCTTGGAATTCTATATTATAGATCAATGTTTGACTGCTATTTCAATATTTTAAACATATTATGTCTCACAGATTGCACTTATTAGGGAAATTTATAAATCTTAGAAAGCTATTGTTCAAAATAAGGCTAAATAATTTGGCAAAATATCTGATTCAATAATGGACAATATCGCTTTTTCATCAAGATTTTAATCAATTCTTTAATGGAAACTGTGAACGTGTAAGTAATGGTACTTTTAAAGAAAGTAGAAAAAACTACTTTGTCGAAGATTGTTTATTTGAAGGTTTCAAAAATCGCGATTTATCTTCTACAGGAGATTCAAAATTTGTTTTGGAAGATAATACTTTTGTTAATATATATTCAAACGTCCAATTTGGTGGCGCAGTTTGTACTGAAGGCGAGGAAATTGTGCATTACAGAATTTGCGCTTTCAATTGTTCTGGTGGCGAAGGACAGTATTGTTCTTGTTGGACAAACTATGGCCAGTATAAAAATTATGTTATTGAAAGCACTTTATTAGCATCTCAAAATATATTTGGTACAGCTCCAATCTTCTTTTTATATGGGAAACAGAATTTAACAAATACTAATATTTCTAATTCTCGTACATTTTCAGTCTGCGGATTTATTTTTCAAAGAGGTGATTATAATTCCCTTGCATCATTTAATTCAATTGTAAATAATTCAGCAAAGCAAACTCGATGTATAAAGGTTTATCATTTTGAGAATAGGAAAGTTGGAATAAGTAATTGCAATATAATTAGAAATTCAGTAACAGAATTCATCATCTATAATGGTGCTGAAACCACATTACCGATTGAAGAATGCAATATCATTGATAATTTGGGAAATAACACAATTTATGGAGAAAACAATTGTAACACATATATTAATAATTGCTTCCTTTTAAATGTATCAACATCAGGGAAGAGTAGGGGTAATTTTAGCTAAAAGTGACATACCTGTAAAAAGTGACACACCCGTGAAGGGTGTGATTACCGATCGGTAATTTCGACAGTTTAGAATTTAAAATTTTTTATGGAACTGTTGCGAGTTTCATAAAGAATTTAAGGAATATAAGCAAAGATTTGAATCAAAATCTTAGACCTAAGCCGCTCGATTCGCTCGCGGCTTCCGCGAATTACAGATCAGCAAAGATTTGAATCAAAATCTTCGAACTAAGCCGATCGCTTCGCTCGCGGCTTTCTTTATTATTTTAAATTTGCATAATTCCATCAAAAGTTCATAAGGTAAAAAATTTCGTTTATTTTTACTAAGAAAAAAAAGGTTTTTGATAATAAATTTATTTTATTTCGAAAAAGTAGCAATAATCGTAAAAGGGTATTGATAGGCTTGCTAAAGTAACTAATTTTAGCTGTCAAATACTTTTGTATTTTGAAGTAAATTAGTATAAATTTGTTTTTACTTTTATTTCGAAAAAGTAGCAATAATCGTAAAAGGGTATTGATAGGCTTGCTAAAGTAACTAATTTTAGCTGTCAAATACTTTTGTATTTTGAAGTAAATTAGTATAAATTTGATATTATTTTAACTCCCTTTGAAAACCTCAATTTTCCATACAGAGGGAACGGGAATAGCATCCAATATTCCCTGAGAATGGTTGCGCATTCTCAGTTCCCTCTATATTTCGAACGAAGCTCTCATCGGTCTTTTTTTTAATACTAAACGTTTTTTTTCCCTGTCACTTTTAGCTAAAATTTGGGTTTGCCCATCAGGGAATACAATTGTGAGAACCACTAATAAAGTTGTAATAATGAATGAGATAAAACATTTTTGGACAGAGCAATGCCTAGGAAAACCTATAACTCTCATCAAAAATCATACATTAATCGATGATCTTGATGCTTACAATATATTTTCATTTGGCATTTTACTCTTTTTGAGGAATGAAAGCTTTATCATTGAAGTTCAACCCGAAAAACATGAAATTTACAATAGAAACTATCTATTCGCATTATCTAAATTTAGATCATTCTTTTCTTTCTTCTTCAAATAAATACTTTTTTCCCACCTTCTCTTCTTCATCATGTAGCTATTATAACAAAGTGGGTGTTTTTATTATCATATAGTAAATGAGAAGATCCATATAAAGATAATCCCTAAGATATCATCTGAGTTGTCAGAATTTCCCCAACGACAAACTCAAAGAGCTCATTCAATTTATCTAATCTTTGAAATTTATATTCCCTGTTTCTGCTTATCGTCTTGTTTTAGTAATATAATATTACTAAAATTTTAGTATTAACTAGTATAAAATACCTTATTCTTAATAAAACGGTATTTTCAATTGCTGCCATAATTTTATAATTGCTTCATTAAATCCAAATTATAATTTCATTTTCGATAAGATCAGAAATGCATTTTTATATTAACATTTTTGTACGCATAGATTTATTAATCATATTTTGAAAATACACAAGGCACGATGGGTACAACATATTATTTTATTTTCCTGATATATTTTAAAGACATTTTATATCGGATGATGCAAATCTGATATTTAAATTTTATGATGTCTAATCAAGACATTCATCCAAGCAAATTCGATGAACAACAAAGTATCTACAAAAACTACATCGATACCTATAATGCGTTGTATCAGCTGAAAACTGAAAATGAAGAAGAATTAAACAAGATTTACAAAAAGATTACAACAGAATTGATCGATTCAAATAAACAGCTTCCACAAAATATAATTAGAGATATTTTAAATATAATCCCGTATAGAAATCGCTATACAAAGTCATATTTATCTCTTGCCAAACGTATATCTGATGATTATCAGGTCAAAGATGTTTGTGATGTTAACCTTCTTTCGAACTTCTTGTTTTACAAAGCATATGGAATTAAATTATATAAATATGCTGATTTCGAAGAAATTAAAAAAGAAAATCTCGATTTTCTTACAGAAGATACAATTTACAGAGCAATAATGTATAATGACAAAGAAAAATTCATCTCATTCACAGAAAAAGAAGGATTCGATAAAGATCAAAAAATTAAAAGCAGTTTTTATCCATATCCTGAAGAAGGATATTCATTACTTCATTTATGCTCTTATTATGGAGCAGTTGATTGTTTCAAATTTTTAATAACGAAATTCAGCTCATATATATCTCCAAACAGTTTGCGATTTTCATTTTTAAGTGGAAATCCAGAAATCATGAGTGAGTGTTTGAAACATCAAAAACCAGATGATTTTTGCATGAAATTTTCAATTATTTCACACAACATTGATTTTGTTACATTCTTGAAGAATGAGTACAATATAGAAATTGATTTATTTTATTGCGGAAAATTTAAAAATCTTGAATCATTTTTAGTTTATTTCGATCAATCTAACGATCTTAACATCTGCTTTATTAACTCAATAATGTTTAATCTTCCTTCATTATCCGAATATTTTCTTTCACTAGGTGCAGATGTTAATTTTTGGACTGGTCTAATAAGGTCCACTCTTCATATTGCAGCGAGTAATAATTGTAAAAAATGGCCAAACTTCTTATTTCACATGGTGTAGATGTTAATACAACAGGTGATAATTATACAACCGCTCTTCATTCTGCTGCATGTTTTAATAGTAAAGAAACAGCCGAATTTCTTATTTTACATGGTGCAAATATAGATCAACAAGATAGATTTGAAGGAACCCCTCTTTTTTATGCAGCCCAATATAATAACAAAGAAACAGCCGAACTTCTTATTTCATATGGTGCATATATCAATGAAGGATGTCATAATGGTGAAACAGCTCTTTATATTGCAGTAAAAAGTAATAGTAAAGAAACAGTCGAACTTCTTCTTTCACATGATGCAGATATCAGCAAATTATATCATCATATGCTTAGAACAATTCTACATGTTGCAGCATTATGGAGTTATAGAGAAATAGTAGAACTTCTTATTTCACATAGCCCAAGTATCGACAAAAAAGATGAATATGGAGAAACGGCTCTTCATCTTGTGGCTTATGGTAATAGCAAAGAAACTGTCGAACTTATTCTTTCTCATGGAGCAAATATCAATGAAAAAAATAAAAAAGGGGAAACCGCTCTTCATATTGCAGCCAGTAATAATAGCAAAGAAACTGTCGAACTTCTGCTTTCGCATGGTGCAAATATCAATGAAAAAGATGAATATGGAGAAACGGCTCTTCATCTTGCGGCTTATGGTAATAGCAAAGAAACTGTCGAACTTCTTGTTTCTCATGGCGCAAATATCAATGAAAAAGATAACGAAGGGAGAACCGTTCTTAATCATGCAGCATATGGTAATAATAAAGAAACAGCCGAATTTTTTATTTCGCATGGTGCAAATATCAATGAAAAAAATAACAATGGCGAAACAGCTCTTCATCATGCAGCAAATTGTAATAGTAAAGAAACAGCCGAACTACTGCTTTCGTATGGTGCAAATATAAATGAAAAAGATAACAATGGGCAAACCGCTTTTCATCATGCAGCACATTATAATAGCCAGAAAACAGCCGAACTTCTGTTTTCACATGGCGCAAATATCAATGAAAAAGATAACAAAGGGAGAACCGCTCTTCATATTGCAGCACGTCATAGTCGCAAAGAAACAGCAAAATTTCTGCTTTCTAAAGGCGCAAATATCACTGAAAAAGATAACAATGGGAGAACCCCTCTTCATCATACAGCAAGATATGAAAGCCAATACAAAACAGCCAAATTTCTTATTTCGCAAGGTGCAAATATCAATGAAAAAGATAATGATGGAAAAACAACTCTTTTTATGCAGCAAAATATGATGGAGTAGGAATGAGTAGATTGCTGCTTTCTCAAAGTGCAAATATCAATGAAAAAGATAATAATGGGAAAACAGCTCTTTTTTATGCAGCACAATATAATAAAATAAATACGACTAGATTTCTGCTTTCGGAAGGTGCAAATATCAATGAAAAAGATAATGACGGAAAAACAGCTCATTTTCATGCACTATTAAATGAAAGTTTCGACGCAGCCAAAATTCTGCATGATGCAAATATCAAATAGATCCAAAATAGTGGAATTATTCGAACAAAAAATTTATCAGTTGTCTCATTAAAGCATTTTTTTTGTGTGTAAGTTCTGAATCCTCTGAAAATATTTCGTACCTACTATTAAATAATCTCTGACGTATTCTGGATTGAAAAAGTTAACTGGCACAACCTTCAGAATATCTGATATATAGAGAACAATTTGCAATAAAATTCTTATGTATTTTTTGAGCATAATGGTGGAAGTCAATTCCACCATTTGCATCAAATTATTTCTGGGAAAGAAGATAGATTTAAAAATATTGATATTGCTGTATAAAACGAAACATCCTGATATAAAAAATACGGAATTTATAATATATAAAATTCAAATGACTACATGCAATAACTATGCGACCATTTTGAGCCAATTCACATATTGCATTCTTTATTGACTTTGATTATGATTCTTAGGCCATAAAAAGTCTTGATAAGGTGTTGGAAATTAATATTATGCGTTTAAAATCAATCATTTTTTTTGTACAGTAAATTGAGATCGATTTACGGGCGTACAAAGCATTTTTTTCAAATATTATAGAATGAGTATCTGGACTTGTGGTCCAGAAGATGGAGAAAGACTCGGAAGGCCACGGGAAAACTGGGATCCTGGCAGAGTTCCAATTCCTGAAGGTGTTTCTGTCGCTCAAATTGCATTGGGTTGGAAACATGGCCATTTTTTCACAGATACAAACCAATTTTATTCATGGGGTACCGGATCTTCTTGGAGACTCGGTACTGGTGAGCAAGAAAATCTTCCAAGACCAACAAGAATCACAACATTCCCCGAAAAAATCAAATTTAAACAAGTAGCGTGTGGTGATAAGTTTTCAGCATGTACAACACAGCAAGGTGAACTATATGCATGGGGTTCTGGATACGCTCACGTTCCAACACAACTTGAATTACCATGCCCAGCCGAATTTATCGCTTGTGGACAAATCATTCTTCTTGCAGCACTTTCAGACGGCACAGTCATGGAGTTTTACAGACATTCACTACCGACATTACACTCATTTGGAAAAGATCATATCATTTCCGTCGCATGCGGACAAACTCATCGTCTTGCTCTAGCAGATAGCGGTCACGTATACGCCTGGGGTGCTGGATCAGCCACAGGAATCGGTACAAGCGAAATTCCGAAAAGAATTCCAACTTTCGACAACATTACAATACAAGCAATCTTTGCGTATCACAACAGTAGCTATTTCATCGATACCTACGGCTGTATCTGGGCTTGTGGAACTAATTCAAGTAATTCTCTTGGATTAGGCCACGCCCAAGAAGTTGTTGTTCCCACGAGGATGACATTCGAATTCTCCAGGGAACAAATCATACAGATCGCCTGCGGAGATGATTTCACACTCTTCCTCAGCGCGCAAGGAAATGTCTGGGCCTGTGGAAACGGCGGCGATTTCCGAAACGCAACAGGAAGTGTCGAGACACGGCCAATACCTGTACCAGCCACAAAACTTGCCGGTAAATTCATCACACAGATCGCTGCTGGATGTTTTAACACGGCTGTTTTGGAGAACGGATATCCACCATTTAATAGGATGGCCAGATTCAGAGGTTTCTTTTCGGAGTTCGCCATTCCTGTCCTTCCTTTCCGTGCAACAATGGGTAACATGGCGAGTGTCGAGATCAATCCTTCCGATGAACTATTGCGACCACTCGGATTCATGACAAGAGACATTGTCAGATTTTCACCAGAAAAACAAGCAATGGTCGTAGGTGTTGCTCAAGGAAAACCAGCTGTTATATGCGAAGGTGCAAATGAGATTGCTTTGATAGAAGCAGACATAACATGCCACCCAATTATATCTAGACCTGGTGTTCATTTGTTTGTTGGAACTGATGAAAAAGGAAATTCAATATCTGTCGATCCAAGTGAGAAAGAAACGCTTAGATTGGGTGGTTTCATGTATGGAGATATCTTGGATGATGATTCTGTGGTTGTTGGAGCAAGATGCAACGCGATTTGGACACTTAAAGACGGAATAATACAAAAGAGAGACCATACGACCCTGAATATAAAGAAGAGAAAGGCTCACGATGTAATTGTTAAAACAATGGGTGATGGATCAAGATACGTTTTAGATTCAATGAAAGAAGATGGAATTGTAGTAATACATACAACATATGGTGCAGGAACATTGATGGGAAAGGTCGGAAAACTGTTTTGTTATGAGTTTGTCGATAAAAATAAGTGTACATTGATGGATTCTTCATTTCCAGTGGTCAGATTGTCGCCTTCTGCAAACATGAAGGTAGAATACCTCTTAAATAATGGTGAAAGAGTATTCGTAGATATTTCTGACTCTAAAGAATTCATTCCTTTGGATAGAGTTAAAATTTCTCACAAAAATTCAATGGGCTCTCAAAAATTGAATGAAAAATACCAAGAAGAAAAATCGCAAGAAATTAATAATTCCAATAATTCAGATGAATTCGGTACTGTTGTTGGTTCTTATGAAAATATGATCGTTGTTCGGACAGATAAGGAACATCTTAGAGGAGGAACTGTTACTCTTTACAAACCATCAGATTTGAAACTTATGGCCAGAATTCTTAAAAATGCAAATCAGAATTATAAATTTAAAGGCCAGGATATAGTTTTAGATGTTTCAGTCTCAAAATGCAGCCAAATATATCCTAATGATAGAATAGAAGTTGACGGAAAAAGAGGATACGTTGCTGGAAGCAAAGATGGAACAAATTACATTTTATTTGATGGAGATGAAGAAGTAACTCCACTTGATAAAGAGTTTATATTGATCCGAAGATGCGTAGATGTGGCAGGTCATCAGTTATACGGCTTCAAAGATGTTGATGTTTCATTGATGAACTTTGCAATGTCAATTATGAAGCCAGGTGATGTTAGAAAGCATATGGGAATGAGAGTTCTGTTCTTGGGTTATGATAGAGACCAGAAAATGATATTTAAGTCTTTAGAAGGAGATACATCGGGTATGACCAACGATTTGACTCCTTCTCTACTCGATATTGAATATATAGAAGTTGATAAATGAATGTTTTGTTTTCTTTATTTTTAATTCAATAACTTTTTTTTCTACAAATTTTATGAGATGTTTTGAAAAGGTTTTAACCAAAAAAATTAATCAATATTTTTACAGATATAGTTAAATAAGTGCCAATTTCTTTAAAGACAATCCATAATTATGTCAAACTCTTCAACATTTTTTATATTCTATGAAATTAATCTGTATTTCATGAGAAATTTTTATAAACATATGCAACATGTATGTATAAGGTGTAGTTTTCAAGTAAAACACAACAACCACAGCAAATATAAATTTTCAATCTAAAAATTAATCTTTTTGATGCGGCAGCTTTGGTTGAAACAGACGTTGTTTTAGCAATAGAAAATGATGCTACTCCAACAAAGAGCAACACGACTTATATGATTATTGGTGTTGTGGCAGGTATTGCCCTTATTGTTGTTGCTGCCTTAATTGTTTGGTTTGTTATTAGGAAGAAGAAACAAGATGATGAATCTAGTTCATTGGTTGAAATGGTTGAAGAAACTGCAGGAATTGTTCCGTCAACTACAACAACAGTAACTACTGATAATCCTTTATGGACTATAAGTGTTGTTGGAGATAATGATGATCCATTTAAGCAAGACTTCGATGAAAATGGTATCGAAGGTTATTTTGATGTTAATAATACAAAAGAATTGGAATAAAAACATATATATTTGCGAACTATATACATACACCTTATATGAGCATCTAAAAAATATTGCAAGACAAATTTGATCCAATATTTAATAACAAGTATTAAATTATTACCTTTTTCACTATCAGAGATCAGGACATTCTATGCTTGTGGTTATATATAATCAGTGGATAAATTACAATTAGGAATTTCCGATTAATTTTTAATTCGGGTCTTGTATCATGATATATTTCAATATTCTATTATAACTACAATGTACCAACAGCCAAAATTGATATTCAACAAAATCTGATGAATAATTCATACAAAATTTCATCAGAAAGGAGGTTTCGTTATTTTTCTATGCATAAATTTCATACTAAAATGGAAATTTAGGTGATTTGATCGAGAATTTGCCAGACTCAATTTCAAAAAATTTGTAATCTATTTAGATAATGTATGCCAATTCTATATACCGAGTTTGGGGATTTATCCTTTCAAAAGATTTATCGGTTTTATCCAAATTTTCAAATGAAGAAGAATTTGGTTCAGGGAATTATCATGGCTGGAGCTCTTATAGTTGTAGCCATAGTTTTCGCATTTATGTTTTGCCTCTATATCGATACATTCGAAAACAACACAGATAAGCCCAAGAATTCCGACACTGGTGCAAATGCTATCGAAACAGAGATGACCGGCCAACAAGAGTACGAAATTAATGATCTTCTCAAGTAAGTTGATCTAAATACAATGTAAAAATTAGTTAATTTTAAATCTATTACAAAATATTTTTCGGATTATTTTCAGAAATTTTAATCTGATTTCAATCCTAATCTATTTTAATAATGATGTATATAAGCCTGAAATATCACTATAAATCATAATCGGATTGAACTAATATTATATGAATGAACTCAAACATGAATATTCATGTATCATTCCTGCATATTCATTCCCACTTGTATCATTTATAAGCATATCTAGCTTCGGTAGCCTTAAAAGAACATTTACAATATGAAAATGCTTAATTCGGAAAATTTCCAAACCAAGATCAAAATATTGAAATGTTTCGGATATTGGCTATCATATGTTTCACTAATAGCATTACAATGAATTGATTCACCCTAATCAAATATCGAAATTTCTTGTTTCACTAGAATTTAAGCGATATATGCATTTATGGATTCGATATTTGTCTGATTTTCCATTATTATATACTATCGTTAGGATTTCAAGCTATTTTAGAAGTGTTTAAAAATATAAAAAAAAATGGCGTCAAAAATTTTCTCACTGGGTTTTCGTCTATCAATCCCAGCTCATTATATACGCAACCAATCAAAAATCTGATATGGGAGTCCAAGGCTAACTTTTTGTTGTCTACCTAATAAAAGAGGAAGCAGCATTAGTGAGAATAATCGCAAATATTCAATTTAAATTATCTTTTTATTCTTAATTTAAAGTGACAAAAAGAATAAAAAACCTATTCTAAGGCATGTTGTTATGTAAATGAGACTAGACATCATATTTTATGTTATGAAAAAAAAATATTTAGAATTTTAGAACAAAATAAATAGAAAAAATAGCATAACTTATGGATGTGCGTATATTAAATTTAATAAATTAAGAGAAATTATTTTTGGCGCCAAAATTATTCGTTAACTCTCAAATTTTTCTGAGTCAATAAGCCGCCAAAAAAGTGTCATTTTGTTTCGTTAGAGAAAGATGAATTGTCCATGTCATCCAATCGGGAACAAGGGGGATGGGGATTAGATGATAAAGAAGCAATTCATGCTCTCTATCTGAAGCAATCAGACTTACCAGCAACAATGTGAATCGATTTGGCTTTAAAGTTAATATAGCAGATCAGCTTGTTACTGGAGAGACTAGGCATTACGATTGATTCGCTGTAGTGCTCTACTTTAATTTAAGAGTAGTAACGGATAACTGAATTCTCAAAATTCTTTAGGTGATCCAAAACACTGTAGCTGCTTGAACTTTGGACGAGCCTCGCACCCCAGAGAATAGAAATCCCAATCTTGCTCATGTTTAGTTGAATTAGTCTGCAGCAGTACAGCTCTGATACCACAAGATCGTGATGTATACAAAGTCACAACGCTATTTGATTCAACAACTAGCTAGTTTTGACATCAAATTGCAAAATTTGACTTCGTTATGAGCTCTTTGTAGCAAAAATACATTACACTTAAAGACTAGTTGCTAGACTGTAGTAGTTTGTTCGTATATATCTATTTTTCCCCAACGTATTGCATACTACATTTTGACAAGACTTGCAACCTTATAGTAACCTCGTTGGGAATTGTTCAAGCAAAGCGTAGGTAGCTAAGGTCGAGTAAGAGTTCTTCTTAAATCTTTCACTGAATGAGTAGGTGTTGGAAGAACTGTTCTCTAAAGCGATACAGTTGCGCTACATGTTCGTCAACTTGTCTAGAAATAAATATATCATTTGTTTTATACGTTTTTTCGTAATAAATCTATTTGTATTTGTTGTATTTGAGTATGAAGATAACAAAAACTACGGCATAAGACGCAGTACACTGGGCTTCGTTGCCATTTTATTTACCATGTTAAGAATAAACTTAACAGACATGCTTTGTTTTCGACGAAGCCATCTAAAATAACGTACATCTAAATAAAACTAAAAAACTGTAAAATTTCTTTATTTGATAGTATACTTCAAATTATGCACTATACCTTCTAGAATTCTATAACACTCTTTGCATATAATTTTTTTAAAAAAAAGTTATATCTCGACAAAAATATGATTTATCAATAGAGTATGTAAAATAAAACTCATTCGCAGTATTAAAAAATCGTAAATCTTTCCAAAAAAATTTTGAATTACAAATTTTAAAACTTAAAACAACATTTTTTGAAGCGAAAAAACGAAATCTAATTTTTTTTGGAAAATTTAGAATAAATAGAGCTCTTTAACTCGTCGAATGCAAATTGTTTTCAAGTTTTTTTCGACCGGAAATTGAACTTTTAGAGTTTATACAATAAGATTCACATGAAAAAATACGGGTTTAACAAAGAAATCACCAATATAAAGGTTTTTTAGTAGAACGAGATTGATAAAAACTACGGTATGATAAAAAGACGATAATTTTTTTGGCGGGATAATTGAAGAATATGAATGATTCGAATTACAGACATACTCTAGTCCGAAACTTACTATGGTTCGTGACTTATTTTTGACACAGAATAGCTGTAGACTAAGGTTTACTCTAGATCCAGACTTATTATACAATTAAATTTGCTTTTGGAATAAGACTTAATTTTAGTTACAAACTTATCTTAATATCAGACTTATATTTAGAATCAGACTTACTTTAGTCTAGAACTTACATTTAGAATCAGACTTCCATTTCAAGTCAGACTTACTTTCGTCCGAGACTTACATTTCAAGTCATACTTACATTCGTCCGAGACTTACATTTCAAGTCATACTTACTTTCGTCCGAGACTTACATTTCAAGTCATACTTACATTCGTCCGAGACTTACATTTCAAGTCATACTTACATTCGTCCGAGACTTACATTTCAAGTCATACTTACATTCGTCCGAGACTTACATTTCAAGTCATACTTACATTCGTCCGAGACTTACATTTCAAGTCAGACTTACTTTCGTCCGAGACTTACATTTCAAGTCATACTTACATTCGTCCGAGACTTACATTTCAAGTCATACTTACATTCGTCCGAGACTTACATTTCAAGTCATACTTACTTTCGTCCGAGACTTACATTTCAAGTCATACTTACATTCGTCCGAGACTTACATTTCAAGTCATACTTACTTTCGTCCGAGACTTACATTTCAAGTCATACTTACATTCGTCCGAGACTTACATTTCAAGTCATACTTACATTCGTCCGAGACTTACATTTCAAGTCAGACTTACTTTCGTCCGAGACTTACATTTCAAGTCATACTTACATTCGTCCGAGACTTACATTTCAAGTCATACTTACTTTCGTCCGAGACTTACATTTCAAGTCATACTTACATTCGTCCGAGACTTACATTTCAAGTCATACTTACATTCGTCCGAGACTTACATTTCAAGTCAGACTTACTTTCGTCCGAGACTTACATTTCAAGTCATACTTACATTCGTCCGAGACTTACATTTCAAGTCATACTTACATTCGTCCGAGACTTACATTTCAAGTCAGACTTACTTTCGTCCGAGACTTACATTTCAAGTCATACTTACATTCGTCCGAGACTTACATTTCAAGTCATACTTACTTTCGTCCGAGACTTACATTTCAAGTCATACTTACATTCGTCCGAGACTTACATTTCAAGTCATACTTACATTCGTCCGAGACTTACATTTCAAGTCAGACTTACTTTCGTCCGAGACTTACATTTCAAGTCATACTTACATTCGTCCGAGACTTACATTTCAAGTCATACTTACATTCGTCCGAGACTTACATTTCAAGTCAGACTTACTTTCGTCCGAGACTTACATTTCAAGTCATACTTACATTCGTCCGAGACTTACATTTCAAGTCATACTTACATTCGTCCGAGACTTACATTTCAAGTCAGACTTACTTTCGTCCGAGACTTACATTTCAAGTCAGACTTACTTTCGTCCTTTTTTCTCTTCCAATAATGCACAAAACCAAGATTTGACATCAGATTTAAAATCTCCATCAAGTCTGCTTTCCAAATCCGCTGTCAAAACTTGAATATCTCAATTAATTAATGATATTCAGATATTGCGAATAATCTTTAGGTAAAGAAGAAAATTTAGGTTGTAAAATCATATAAAAATGTAGTTAGAGAGCAAAAATTATGTTTGAGTGGATCTCCATGTCGTAGTGGATCTAGATGTTTGAGTGGCTTTAGATGTATGAGTGGTTTTCAATGTCAGTGTGGATCAAGATGTCTGGGAATAAAAGTAAGTCGTAGGTTAATATAAGTTTGATATTAATGTAAGTATGACTTAAAATGTAAGTCTCGGACGAAAGTAAGTATGACTTGAAATGTAAGTCTCGGACGAATGTAAGTATGACTTGAAATGTAAGTCTCGGACGAAAGTAAGTATGACTTGAAATGTAAGTCTCGGACGAATGTAAGTATGACTTGAAATGTAAGTCTCGGACGAATGTAAGTCTGACTTGAAATGTAAGTCTCGGACGAATGTAAGTCTGACTTGAAATGTAAGTCTCGGACGAAAGTAAGTCTGACTTGAAATGTAAGTCTCGGACGAATGTAAGTATGACTTGAAATGTAAGTCTCGGACGAAAGTAAGTATGACTTGAAATGTAAGTCTCGGACGAAAGTAAGTATGACTTGAAATGTAAGTCTCGGACGAATGTAAGTATGACTTGAAATGTAAGTCTCGGACGAATGTAAGTATGACTTGAAATGTAAGTCTCGGACGAAAGTAAGTCTGACTTGAAATGTAAGTTTCGGACGAAAGTAAGTCTGACTTGAAATGGAAGTCTGATTCTAAATGTAAGTTCTAGACTAAAGTAAGTCTGATTCTAAATATAAGTCTGATATTAAGATAAGTTTGTAACTAAAATTAAGTCTTATTCCAAAAGCAAATTTAATTGTATAATAAGTCTGGATCTAGAGTAAACCTTAGTCTACAGCTATTCTGTGTCAAAAATAAGTCACGAACCATAGTAAGTTTCGGACTAGAGTATGTCTGTAATTCGAATCATTCATATTCTTCAATTATCCCGCCAAAAAAATTATCGTCTTTTTATCATACCATAGTTTTTATCAATCTCGTTCTACTAAAAAACCTTTATATTGGTGATTTCTTTGTTAAACCCGTATTTTTTCATGTGAATCTTATTGTATAAACTCTAAAAGTTCAATTTCCGGTCGAAAAAAACTTGAAAACAATTTGCATTCGACGAGTTAAAGAGCTCTATTTATTCTAAATTTTCCAAAAAAAATTAGATTTCGTTTTTTCGCTTCAAAAAATGTTGTTTTAAGTTTTAAAATTTGTAATTCAAAATTTTTTTGGAAAGATTTACGATTTTTTAATACTGCGAATGAGTTTTATTTTACATACTCTATTGATAAATCATATTTTTGTCGAGATATAACTTTTTTTTAAAAAAATTATATGTAAAGAGTGTTATAGAATTCTAGAAGGTATAGTGCATAATTTGAAGTATACTATCAAATAAAGAAATTTTACAGTTTTTTAGTTTTATTTAGATGTACGTTATTTTAGATGGCTTCGTCGAAAACAAAGCATGTCTGTTAAGTTTATTCTTAACATGGTAAATAAAATGGCAACGAAGCCCAGTGTACTGCGTCTTATGCCGTAGTTTTTGTCATCTTCATACTCAAATACAACAAATACAAATAGATTTATTACGAAAAAACGTATAAAACAAATGATATATTTATTTCTAGACAAGTTGACGAACATGTAGCGCAACTGTATCGCTTTAGAGAACAGTTCTTCCAACACCTACTCATTCAGTGAAAGATTTAAGAAGAACTCTTACTCGACCTTAGCTACCTACGCTTTGCTTGAACAATTCCCAACGAGGTTACTATAAGGTTGCAAGTCTTGTCAAAATGTAGTATGCAATACGTTGGGGAAAAATAGATATATACGAACAAACTACTACAGTCTAGCAACTAGTCTTTAAGTGTAATGTATTTTTGCTACAAAGAGCTCATAACGAAGTCAAATTTTGCAATTTGATGTCAAAACTAGCTAGTTGTTGAATCAAATAGCGTTGTGACTTTGTATACATCACGATCTTGTGGTATCAGAGCTGTACTGCTGCAGACTAATTCAACTAAACATGAGCAAGATTGGGATTTCTATTCTCTGGGGTGCGAGGCTCGTCCAAAGTTCAAGCAGCTACAGTGTTTTGGATCACCTAAAGAATTTTGAGAATTCAGTTATTACGTAAATTTCTCAAGATGAACTTGAGAGCAGCGCAGTTATAACGAAAGTCTCTGATGAAAGGCAATGATTTCTTTCATGAATGATCTAACATTAGCTTGAAATCAGGAAAAGAGACTATTGATGACTTACTTTCCATCGATGGTGCACAACAGCAGGGAGGGGATTGGTGGGTTTGGGGAAATTCGCTGAGGCACTAGTGTCCGGATTGTTCGTCAAATAGGTTTCCTTTCCTATAAAGAAATGACACTTTTTTGGCGGCTTATTGACTCAGAAAAATTTGAGAGTTAACGAATAATTTTGGCGCCAAAAATAATTTCTCTTAATTTATTAAATTTAATATACGCACATCCATAAGTTATGCTATTTTTTCTATTTATTTTGTTCTAAAATTCTAAATATTTTTTTTTCATAACATAAAATATGATGTCTAGTCTCATTTACATAACAACATGCCTTAGAATAGGTTTTTTATTCTTTTTGTCACTTTAAATTAAGAATAAAAAGATAATTTAAATTGAATATTTGCGATTATTCTCACTAATGCTGCTTCCTCTTTTATTAGGTAGACAACAAAAAGTTAGCCTTGGACTCCCATATCAGATTTTTGATTGGTTGCGTATATAATGAGCTGGGATTGATAGACGAAAACCCAGTGAGAAAATTTTTGACGCCAAAAAAAATTATCGATCAATTTCACTGCAATCAAATCATAATATAATTGCCGAAAAGGGAATTAGTAGAAAGCAATTAAAAATCGAGCTATATACGATAGAAATAAAAACATAATATTTAAGAAAATGACAATAATCTACAAAGTCTAATATATTATTCGGCAAAACTCATTTCTATAGGAATATGAGTATAACCTAACATGATAATGTATTCAAAAAAATTAACAGCAACCAGTTTTCTCTTCTTTCTTTTTAGGTGCGTACAAGGTTGGTTGGATTCCTATCTGGATTTCTTTTGTGACGACAGATTGAAAAACGTTTCTTGCTGCTTTATGAAAAGCTTCTGTAACGTTTGCATTTGTTTTTGCAGAGGTTTCTATGTATTCTAAACGGTTATTATTGGAGAATTGTTCGATTTCTGCTTTAGATACTGTTCTTTCGCTTTCTAAATCAATTTTATTTCCAACTAGAAGAATTTTAGCTTTTGGATGACAGTAATTTCGTACATCTACAATCCAATCTTCCAAGCCTTCGAAGCTATGATGGTTATTGTAAGAAAATACAATCAAAACACCGACCGCATCTCTGTAATATGCTTGAGATAGTGCTCTATATTGCTCTTGCCCTGCTGTATCCCATATCTGCAATTGAATCTTTTGATTGCCAATGGACAACTTGTATAATGAGTATTCTACGCCAATCGTACTATCTAGCACACCATCAAATTCATCTGTTATTAATCTTCTTACAAGGGCAGTCTTTCCAACCCCAGCATCTCCGATCATTAAAAACTTGAAATTCAAAATATCATCAGACATTATTTTTGACACAACCGCTGAAATTAAATCCAAAATTTCGTTTTAAATATGCATATAACAATGACAAGAAATATTTAGATAAAAAATTGACACTTTTATTTATAATGTTTTCAAAATCAATTTTTAATTTTCAGCAATATCAGACTTATCAAATAACATGCCATTACCTTCTCTTTAGATAGTATTGATCTAAGTGATAAACAAGGAGAGTTATCTTTTCTCTATTGGCGCTAATGATATATGGACTCAATTAGATCATTGGAACAGAACGCAAAGAAAAACAAAGAATATATATTTTTGGAAAAGACTCCAAGAGTTAAAGTTATGATTGACTAATGAGTACAAATATAAGAAAAATACGAAGCTGAAAAGGATCATCATTTGAGAGTTTTACATGGCATTTGTACGCAAATGTCATGTAAAATTTTCTCAAAATTCTTCCAAGTTTACATTCACCATTTCTAGCTTGAAATGATAATGCTTAACTAAATAATCTTAGTAAATTTACACATCATGTCCTATACAATACAAAATCTATATCAACTATTCTCTATAAATCATTACTAATGAGGGGGTAATTTGAATTTGAGATAAATATATCACTAAACAAGAATCACCATGATAAGTTAAAATAATAAGAAGTGTTTATTCTTAGTTATTCATTAAGAATTTTTGAAAAATAATATTCAGCTCTTGGTTCTTCCTTTGAATCATCGCAATTATCTCTCAAGCAGTTTATGTCGATAATTTCTGGATCATTTTCGATCCTTCCGAGGTAAATTGCCCTCAATATCAACAAAGATAAGAAAGAATTGCCAGAATCAGAAGCAAAATCAATCATTTCTTGTAAATCAACAAAGAGGATATTGGCTCTTATCAACAAAATGGCGCTAAACGTCATAATGTACCTTTTCATCGTGTAAGTCAATTCATCGTAATGAATTGAATGATGAATCATATCCAGATTCGATATGATCTTCAATACATCTTCAGATTTTCCTCTGTATGAAATTATCATCAGATACCAGTAACAAATCTCTTTCATTTCTTCATCAGGAGAGAAGAAATAACTTATTACCTTCTGTAAAAAGATTGTTGATGCTCCCAAAGCTTTGATTGTTTGGATATTTATTTCGATATCATTATTGACTTCGAAATAAAGTTTGCACTTGATTCCGAGTTCAGAACACCTTGCAGCAACCTGGATCTGTTGTTCTGGAGGAAGGATTTCGATGTTTGAGAGAATTGTTTCGTTGACTTTGTCATCAAAGGTCGGAGAGATGAGACAAAGTAGGAGTGGAGGTAACAAGTGATACATTGTTAAAAGAGGAAGTTTTTTGATGTAAATTTCGAAGATTCTCTCTAATTGAAGCAATAATGTTAATTTGTGTTCGACATTGAAGGATGCGTAAGCTTTTAAGAACTCTACTACATCTACTGGATCTTCTAATGTCTGGATAAAGTCTAAGATATTGTAATTGCTGTATAAAACTTTGGCGAAATCGTCTGAATTAAGTAATGCGACTTGAAGACATTCAATTGCGAATGCTGAGTTGGTTTCTCCGATGTATGTGAACAGCATTGATGCTATTTCTGATAATTCTTCTTGATGTCCATTTCTGTTTGTTGAAACAAATTCATCTAAATAATACTCGAATTCTTCTGAATCTTTTCGCTCGAAAGCTTCTTGGATCTTGGAAAAGAGGTCATAGAACTCAATGCTGCACTCTTCATCCAAAGACCTGTGGTTTGGAACGTCTGGTTCTGATCTAATTTCGTCCATTGATAAATTTTTAATCAGTGCATCAAATCATATAAATTGAAAGGAAAATAATCGTGGTGAAGTTCACCACCTCGAATTGAGAGAATGATATGAAAAAGATGTTTTATTAATCATGGCCATTCTTAACTCTTATTTAATTTTGTAGTTTTAAGTTAGATTTTCAAGAAAATTTTATACAATTTCACGTTATTCGAACAGGATTATATATATTAGTAGGGATTCACTGGAAAGAGCTAATGTGAACATTCATATTAATATACATAGATGTGATTTGAATAAAAAACATTTATTAACTTATATATTTAATATATTTAAAGGGATATAGATATGTAATACGTATTGAAATGTTTTTTAAAAGTATTCTTGCTTTGATTATTTTGCTAACGCATTTTGATGTAACAATTGCACAATCAAAGAGATTTTGGGGAATCAAGTAGCCGAATGATTAGATTATGAAGATTTCAGCATATGAGACGGATTTTATGGTTCAGTTTTGGCAAAATTAAGCATATTGGAAAATGCGAGTGAAAATATTCCGGATGCAAGTCCATCATACTGTAATAGGGTCATTTGGTAGCGGCTCACAGTCAGCATTTCTCAAATCGTTGCTTAACGTCATAAGAGCTCGAAATCTGTACGTTAAACCACCTTTCAAAATCAAATTTTATCTGAAATTTTCTAAAACTGTACGTTTATCAAAAATCATCATGGGTGAAGATGCATTTATGCTTAGTGTCCAGTTCCCTAGCAAGACGCTAGAGCTCTGGGAAGAACTAGGTCTTGATAATGATATGAGAAAAGAAGATACAATAAGCGTTCAAAACGCAATGATCAAATTAACTCAGGATTACACAAATCAATTGAAGATTAGACGTGATAAAACAAGAAAAGAGATTGAAGATGTTCAAAAGGCTCATAAAAAAGTCATGTTAGCTTACGGAATTACACAAGATGAGATTAACAAGACAAATTTCGACATTCAACCAATCAATTTACTTCAACAACTTGCACAAGCTAAAGATGCATACGAAAACTTCAGAAACGCATGTGCAGAGAGACTTAAGAAGTTCGAAAACTTAATTCACATGGCAGTCGATCACTTTAACATGTTAGGTATTCCAGAAGCTGAACGCGGTGATTATGCAGTTCTTGGGGATGATGACTACTCTCGTGAGCGTCTTGAAAGATTGAAACTCAAAGTTGAGGATTTACAACACGAGATCGAGGAGAAGAGACTTGTTGCAGATGATATCAAAAACGAAATCTACTCAATTCAGAAAGAACTCTCAAGCAAGCTTTCAGATCAAGAAGAAGCTGTCTTGAATTCACCATTACTTACACCAGGGGTCATTGATGGTATCAGGAACCTTCTTGAAAGGCTTCAACAGGTAAAGGCCCACAGAGTTAAAGAGTTTGAAGAGATTGCACTCAATATCACTCATCTCTGGGACACCCTCAACATAAGTGATTCCTACAGAAAAGCATTCCTAGAGAAATATGCTACAATCAGTGATGAAGTTTATGAAGGTTGCATGAAGGAATTAGCTAAATTACAAAAGCAGATGGACGAGAAACTTCCAACACTTATCAAGGCACATCGTGAACAGCTTGCAGAGCTTTATGACTTCTTCCATATTCCTCCTGAGGGTCGCCTCATGGTTGATGAAAATTGCGAAACAGGACAAGAAGCCGTTAAGATATTCCAACAGATGAATGATGAAATTGTTCGCCTAAAGAAATTAAAAGTTAAACTCAATGATCTTGTTAAATTGGTCACTCAAGCTGAACAAATTAAGAAAGATTATGATGATGTTCTTAAGAATCATGATCCAAAGAACTACACTGCAAGAGATACAGACTCAGCAAAGATTCTTGTCTTTGAAGAACGTGCTCGCAGAAGGTATAAGGTTACACTTCCAAGTTTGATCGACAAATTGAAGAGGATGCTTGACAAGTTCAGGAAGGATAATGGCTACGATTTCGAATGGGATGGAAGACCATACATCGAGAAACTTAAAGAAGATGAGCAACAAGAAGCTATTGAAAAGAAGTTTGCTGGAAAAATCACAGATTGCGGAAGTGTCCCTCCAATTAAGCGCAAAGGAAAGAAAGGAGATGATCTCTATCACAATGAGAACATGAATGATAATCGCGGAAATTCAGTTAGAACTGCTCGTCGGCAAGCTTATGTTTGAATCTTGACTGAAAGATAATTTGTTGTATTATTCCTGCTTTTTTATTTCTATTTAAAATTGCTTTATTTGATTAAACTTTCACTCTATTTGCTATCTTCCATATTATTTTTTCATTAAAAAACATATACATGATAAGGTTAAGGTTTTATTCTCACATTAAAATGAAAACAGCTATTACAGTGATGGGATGATTCGTTTTAGAAATCATATTTGCTTTACATGAAAACTCTGAACAATGTTTCGCAGATGAAATATCTAACCCACTCTTTTTAAGAATATTTATGAAAGTTTTATTATTAATATTTTGTATGAGGGCTCCGCAATTCAGAAGAGGACAATTTGAAAATGCATTTTCTCCAATTGAAACTACACTAGAAGGAATTGTGATTTGCCGAAGATTGATACATCCTTCAAATGAACTTTGACCAATTTTGACGAGACTTTTTTCGGGAAGGAGAACTGCCTGAAGGTTGGCACAACCTATGAAAGCTGAATCTTCAATAGAAATCACACCTTCCAGAAGATAAAAGTAATTTCTTTTGGATGCCGGTGGGTATACATGCATCTTAATTCTATCACTACTATATAGAGCACCATTCTCACAAACAAAATTTTCTGAACGAAATTCATTGATTGTTTCGAAGTTACTGCAGCCACGAAAAACGCCAAGCCTGATAGAAGTCAACTTACTAGAATTCTTGATTGTGATTGATCTTAAACTTGAGCAGAATGCAAAACAATAAACATCAAAAATTGATACATAATCGGGTATATCAAGATGTGTAATAGATGTGCCAGATAGAGCATTTGAACCAATTGAATAACAGTTGGATGGGATTGTAAATGATGTCAAACTTTCGCATCCTTTAAATATTGATGGTGATAATATAGTAGATGTAATCATGTTGTTTTCGAAAATAATACGAGTGAGTCCACAGTTTGCAAAGCATGCACTTTCAATTGATGAGACACAATTAGGTATTTGGATAGTATTAAGTGACGACAAACCATTAAAACAATCAGAACCAATTGATATACTTGGATTTGTGTTGAAAGTAATATATGTGATGGAGTCGCAATCTTGAAAGGCACTTTCAAATAGCTGCAATTGTGTGGAAGAAGAGAAAGATATTGAAGGAATTCTGTTACAATTTCTAAATGCACTTGAATATATTGCTATCAAAGTTGAAGGGAAAGATATGTGTGTGTTCAAAACTGTGTTTTCGAAAGCACGATCTCCTATATACATAATTTGATTTCCAAACGTGAAATTATATAAGTTTGAGCATCCATAAAAAGTCCCAACATCAATATATTGAAGTTGAGGTTCATCATCAAAAATGGCAGTGTTTAGATTAACTTTTTGATAGAATGCTTTAGTTTTTATTCTTGTGACTGTATGGGGGATTATAACTTTATTCAATCGGCCAAGATATTGAGAAACTGTTTTATTGTTGTTTGAATAGATAATAAGTTGTTTGTCAATATATAGTGAAGGACTTGTTAACGTCACGTTTAAATCTGGTATATCTAGTAATGCACTACCTCCTATATCTTCAAGATTATCAGGAAGAACAATTGTTTTTAAAGAATTACACATATCAAAAACCTCACTCTCAAGATTTTTAACTGTACTTGGAATTCTTATTGATGTTAAGGCAGATCCTGTAAAAAGTCTATAACTCAAAACAGTAAGATTTGGTGGAAGTTGAACTTGTTTAAGCCTTCTACAAAAATAAAATCCATAAGATAATATTTCTTGAACCGAATCTGGTATTATTATATTGATTAAGTTAGAATTAATAAAGCACCCTTTCTCTATTCTGATGACAGAATCTGGAATTATATAGCTATCTCCACATGCTGATGCACAATAATAAATGACTGTTTTATCCTTATTGTATACCGCTTTGTTATCACTCCAAAAATATTGATCATTGCATCAACATAAATATTCTTCATGTTCCCATTAAAACTAAATGCAACACCTGTTATACTGGAAACACTTTGAGGAATAGTAAACTCTAATAAATTAAGGTAATAAAAAGTATCATGAACTAGACTTTTTAGTTGAGATCCAGGTGAGAATGTTATTGATGTAATTCCCATAGCTGATATTCCGTACTCACCAATTGATGAAACAGTTGATGGGATATTTATAGTTGTAATCTTAAATGAAGTAAAGGCATTGGGTGATATTGTTGTTAATCCTTCAGGAAGAATAACAGATGTAACTGAAGAACATCCAAAAAATGCATAATTCCCAATGATTCGCAGCTGACTACATTTTGAAAGGTCAACTTTTTGTAACTTCTGACATGCATAAAAGGCATAAGCATTAATATTTGATAGTTGTGGATTGTCCTCAAACGAAAAGGATTCAATCGAATCTTTTGCAAGTTTGAAACAATAATTTTCTTTATCATACCCATAAATAGCGGTACATGCACTTGATATGAGTACATTTGTTGTGGTGGATGAAACTGAAAGTAATGTGCGCCCATCAGATGAATATTCAGTCAATTACCGGAACACTTTTCAGAAGCTATTGAAAATTTTGAAATAATAAATAATGCCTTTCAATGGGTTTCCCATGCATTAAAAAAAGGTCAAAAAAAATTGGTAAAACCAGTATTTAAATTAAAAGCATTAATAAAGTATGACAATAATCGCATATGGAAAAAAAAGTAAACGATATAATACATCAATTTTTAAATGCTCAATTAATGAACATATTGAATGGAAAATATTCACATTTGCACTTGTATGAATTTTTCAATTAATCCATTATAAACGTAGTGTAACAAAATTAATTAAACAAGTATATTTTTATAGATTTCCGCCTACATGTATGAGAATTTATAACATCAACTTTTACATATAAAAAACACAATAAAATATAAAAAACAAATATTATCAATTAATGAGCCTTGACATCGCAAGCAATCTCTCTTGAAGAGGCTTTTTGACGTTAGTCATAGAAGAAGAGCAGTATGAAATCTCTGTTTGCTGATGAGCATCATTAGTTGGCTGCTCCGAGTTGTTGTTAGGCATGTTGATATACTTTGCAGAAATTTTTCCTGTTTTATATTCTAAAGAAGCTATTTCTCTATTTTTAGAAGAAAGAGCTTGTCTAAGAAGAGTAATTTCATCTTCTGCTTCGGAAAGTTTAGATTTCAATGCTTGTTCATTTCTCTCTTTATTTGATTTGATATCAGAAAACTCTGTCTGTTTCTGCTTAAGCATAACATTTTCATGCTTTAACTGCATTATCTCATCTTTGGATTGTTCTAATGCAGCTGTAACTTCTTTCAAAGAATTCTTAACACTTGCGTATTTCTCACTCAACTTTGAAAACTCCGAATGATCAATAGTTTGCTGCATTTGAGTAGTGAGATTATTTATCTGGTCATTAAGTTCTTCTTCTTTCGCTTTGGCAATTAAAATTAAATGATCTTTTTCAGCCAATTGATTTTCTCTCATATTTTGTAATTTTTCTGCATCTTTGATGATCAATACCAAATGTTCTATCTTCTTTAGAAGTTTTGATTTAGAGTTTTGAAGATCTTTTATTATTGCAAATGGCTCATTGATTTTATGTACTTGTGGATCATTTCCGCAAATCCACCACCAATTTCTATAATCATTTTCATAAACTTTTGGCAATTTATTGATCTTTGACCATCTTTTTGATATGACTGTTGCAATGATAATCGTTCTTAATGATGGAGTATTCGATATACCTTTTAATGCAGAGTTAATTGCATTAATACGATGAGAAAATTCTCTGTTCGCTGACTCAATAACTTTTGTATTCTTTTGAGCATTTCTTAGAAGTTGAATCTGATTGATTAACTGTTCATTCTTTGTATTTAAGTCTTCAATAGTGTTCTGTAACATTGAAGAATCTTCTTTTAGTGAAGAGATTTGTTCACCAAATCTTTCTGTTTCGGATTGAGATAATCCGAGTTCTTTTATGGCTTTTCTTAATTGTTTCTTGGTAAGTTTAAGTTCTTTAGGTAATTTCTCGGCTAATTCAACTCTGTCGCTGAGTTCATCAACAAGTTGATTGAAATCTGTAATATGCGGAAGAATTTCTTGGACTTTTGCCATCTTTTCTTGTAATTCTTCTATATCATCCTTTTGAGATTCTATAACTGTTTGTTGTGCATGAACTTCGCTCTTGTATTTTTCGATTTGTTGCTCATTCAATGAAATTTTGTCTGATAATGATTGTTTTTCATCTTTCATCTTGTGTATAAGCTGTCTAAGTGATGCTGCTCTTTCATCAGCCTCATTTTTCTCATTTTCAAGGCGTCTTAATTGAGTTTCTAACTTTCCTTTATTTAATGTAAGTTTCTCGAGTTCAATATGCTTTTTGAGCATAGAATCGTTGTTTGTAACATTTTCTGCACGAAGTTCTACCATCTGCTTGTGTAATTCTTTAAGATCATTATCTTTTTTGTCAAGTAAAGCTTGAAAGTCGCGTTTTTGTTTTTCAAGGAGGTTGTTAAAGTCAGTTCTGGAATTTGCTTCATTAACTGAAAACTCTTCTTTTAATTTTCTGTATGCGTCGTCTTTTTCATCGATTTTTTGTCTGTATCCGGATATTTCATTTTGCATTGTTGTTGCTAAATTCTTTTGATGTGCTAATTCATCTTTGAGCCGTTGAATTTCATTATTTAACGATTTTCTTTCGCGTTCGAAACTGTCTTGTTGACTTGAAAGTTGTTGTTTCAGTGCTTCAACTTGTCTTTTCGTATTTCCGAGTTTTTGATTTGCGTCTAAAAGTTCTCCAAATTTTATCTGCATTTCATCAATTAAATCATCCTTATCTACTGAATCATCTGATCCTGAATTCGTGTTAGATTGTGTTGAATCACCTTTTTTACTTTCATATGTGAGAGAAGTCCGTGATCCGGAGCTTACACTCATTTTTAAACGGATAACGAAGCGAGAATTATGCTCGCAGATGATTATCTATTCTAAATTGAATCAAATTACTATAATAACTTGAAATCATAAAACTCAAACATGTCATATTTTCATTATTTCATAATTTTTTTAAAGCAAAAATTATAAGATTATATTAATCTCTATTTTCTTAAAACAGGCTTGTGGATTAACTATATAACTAGATAAAATATGATACATTATATTATTAATCCATAAATAAGAATATTTTGTTCAGATTTGTGCATTACTAAATAAAATTCGAAAATTGTAATGGCATCGCTTATTGTTTTCTATATATAATACGTGACAACTTATTTTTTTGAAAAAAAAATAATATAATGTGGTTAAGTTTTCCCTAATATAACTCTTAATGGCATTTGTCAACAAATACCATGTAAAACTCTCGAAAGTGTGATCCTTATGGCTGGGTGAAAACCCACCCACGTTATGGAAACTTGACTTCCCAAAATTACTGTTTTTTATAAATTAATTTTGAATATTTTCATTTACAATATTTAATCGTTTATCTACTAATAAATATGAAAAAGTTTAAATTATGCTATGCGGTATAACTGCTTATTGCCTATTTTAGCTCCGTGCTCAAGTAAATATTTTTCAATTTTACATAATGATATTCGAATTGCAAAATCCAATGGAGTTGCGATATTATAAAGAGAATTTGATATATCAAAAAGAAATATGAAATGAAAGAGGATTACATCAAACAATGATAAATGTGAAAAGAAAGAGAATGAAATAAATCAATGATAGACATGAATAGAAAGAGAATGTTACAAAACAATGTTTAACATGAAAAGAAAGAGAATGTCATAAAACAATGATAAACATGAATAGAAAGAGAATTTTATAAAGCATTGATAATTATGAAAAGATTAAGAATAAGTATAATGTTAACATCAGCACCATGTTCGACTAAAAATTTGACAATTTCTATTGAATTCACCAGAGTTGCAATAGTAAGTGGACAATGATTAATATCGAGAGAACTCTATTAAATTATGATAAATATGAAAATTACGAGAATGTTATAAAACAATTATAAATTTGAAAAGAAACCAAATGTCATAAAACAAAGATAAACTTGATAAAGCAATGATAAATGTGAAAACAAAGAGAATAAGATTTATGTTAACATCTGCACCATGTTCAACTAAGAATTTGACTATTTCTATTGATTTCTCTTTGATTGCAATAGTAAGCGGGCAATCATTAATATTGAGAGAAATTCATTAAATAATGATAAATATCAAAACAATGTTGAATATGAAAAGAAAGAGAGTGCCATAAAACAATAATAGATATATAACGAAAGAAAATGTTATTAAACAATGATCAATATGAAAAGAAATAGTATAAATTTCAAGTTAACATTAGCACCATAATCAACAATGTATTTGACAATCTCTATTGAATTCGCTTTGATCGCAGCCTTAAGAGGGCATTCATTTGTATTAAGAGAATATAATAATATAATGATAAATATGAAAATAAAGACAATTTCATATAACAATGAGAAATATGAAAAAAAAAGAGAATGCCATAAAACAATGAGAAATATGAAAAGAAAGAGAATGTCATAAAAAATGATAAGTATGAAAAGAAACAGATGGATAATGTAAGTTTTGTCAATATTTTCTCCATTAGAAAGCAAATAAGATGCAATATCATAATTTCCAAAATACATGCATTCTTCTATTGAATCAGGAGTTTGTCCAAAATTTGTTTTAAGGAACTTAGCAATTTCATAATTTCGATAATCTAATGCTGTATTAATCATTCTATCAAATGATTTACCATCTTCGATCATTTGCATAAAAATATTTGGATTTCCGCCTTGAACAGCATATTTTTTCGGAATAATAATTGTATTTAGCTCCTAAATTTTTCAAGTAATTGAAGCACAATTCTGATCCGTGGAAAATAGCACAATCAAGTGGCGTTAATGCGATTTTAATTTGCTTATCAATATCAAGATTTGGGAATTTACTCTTAAGATCATCAACTTTATTCCATGCAATGTAATAATATGGAGAATTTGTTGAATATAAATTGAGAACATCTTCTTTTGTTTTAATCCCGAGGAATCTAGGATAGTAACGTTCACCATATAGAAGCAATGCTAATTCCTTATTTTTCGGTTGTATGATGCATGAGAATTCGTTTGATATCATTTGATAAAGTTCTGCATATAATTTAATTTTTTTAACATGAATTTGTGAAAAAACATCAATCGACGAAAACGCTATTTGGATGGATATTTTTCTATTTTTAATGAAGTCTATAATAAGCGATGATGATTGTAAAATATTATCGGGGTTGAGGTCCCAAATAATTTCTGAAGCTTGACTAGGGTATTTGAATACTTCTATTGGCTTAATATTGCTAAAATCACACTCATTTTCAATTGTTGCCGGCTTCGAACTCGACATTCTTAAAAAAATTCTGAACTTTACAAAGTAAAATTTATAGAAATCTCAGACCAAACAATTTTTATCGTCGTTCAAGATAAATATTGAAATCTTCATAAACTTTATAGCTATATCGGTTTAGGGAATTCGTTTTCATTTTGGACATTACCTTCGGAAACTTTTCTTCAAAATTTTAGCCTAAAATATGCATGTTATTTAGCTGATAAATTCATCTTGTCAACAATTCAATGAGAACTCTAAAAATTCCTGCTATATTAGCAACGGTATTATACACAGATACATATACTTTATGTTAACTGATCACGGCATTCGGCAAACCCAAATTTTAGCTAAAAGTGACAGGGAAAAAAACGTTTAGTATTAAAAAAAAAAGACCGATGAGAGCTTCGTTCGAAATATAGAGGGAACTGAGAATGCGCAACCATTCTCAGGGAATATTGGATGCTATTCCCGTTCCCTCTGTATGGAAAATTGAGGTTTTCAAAGGGAGTTAAAATAATATCAAATTTATACTAATTTACTTCAAAATACAAAAGTATTTGACAGCTAAAATTAGTTACTTTAGCAAGCCTATCAATACCCTTTTACGATTATTGTTACTTTTTCGAAATAAAAGTAAAAACAAATTTATACTAATTTACTTCAAAATACAAAAGTATTTGACAGCTAAAATTAGTTACTTTAGCAAGCCTATCAATACCCTTTTACGATTATTGCTACTTTTTCGAAATAAAAGTAAAAACAAATTTATACTAATTTACTTCAAAATACAAAAGTATTTGACAGCTAAAATTAGTTACTTTAGCAAGCCTATCAATACCCTTTTACGATTATTGCTACTTTTTCGAAATAAAATAAATTTATTATCAAAAACCTTTTTTTTTCTTAGTAAAAATAAAAATGTTATTTTATATCAAGTTTTTATTCATAAATTTTTATAATGTTGTATAAATTTCATTAAAATTTACGTACATATTAAGGTACTTATCTTCTACATATATAATCAAAAAAAAAAAAAAAAAAAAAAAAAAAAAAAAAAAAAAAAAAAAAAAAAAGGTAGTGGGGCTTCCAGGCACTTCGTGCCTTCTAGCCCTGAAGATGTTTAGTATAAAATGAGGTTTTTATTCGGAAAATTGTTAGTCTTCTGGTGTGAATTCGGAGGACTCTTCGTGTTTCTCTTCTTCGTGTTTCTCCTCTTCTTCCTCCTCCATTGCTTCTGGGAAGAAGTCTTCTTCTGGGTCGAAGACATTATATAATGTGTAATTGAATGACACATTATATCTTTCTTTGAGTTCGCTCCTGACAAAGAACTTAGTTCCAGGAATACAGAAGACTTCTGTGCGTTGGAAAAGCTGATGTCCTGGAACAAATTTGGCAATTAGAGACTTCTTTTTTCCGAATTGTTCAGGAGTTTCCATGACGACAGTAACAACATCTCCATCTGCGAGGTCTTGTTGTTGTTCGGAAAGGTAAAGAGCAATGATATAAATGGTTGCTGCGTTGAATTCGAGAAAGTCGAATTCAAATTGTGTAGTCGTATAGCAGTCAAACCATTTTGTACAGTTGTCTCCGAACTCGTCAATGTATTCATCTTGGTCATATCCGTAACTAAAGACTTGAAATTCGGCAATTCTCTTGTCGAATGACCGTTGGATGGAACGAGGAAGATTTTGACGAACTTGGTATAAAGTTCTCAACATTATAAGCTTAGTAAATGTTGGAAAATACTGAACTAAGACATCGCTAAGCTCAATTGGACTTGGAATTGTCTTAGTAAGTTCAATTGAACTAGCAATTGCTTTGTTCAGAACTTCACAGAACTGAGTATTGTATATAGCGTCTGGTTGTGTGTTTTCTTCGGCGTCTTTGAGATATTTAGAGCAAATTTGTTGAAGAATTTCTCTTAATTCGCTGTTAGACTTTTTGGCGGTTATTCTAACAGCTGTGCCAGTTCTTGGAGGTTGTGGGGCTTTGGCTTTGGTTAGCGGTTGAGAATTGTTAATGTTGGCTTCCATTAGACAAAAATAAACTGTTTTTTTTCGGACTACTCATAGAAAAGTTTAAAATAAACCGTTTTCGTCAACGGTAACCCCCTCTATTTTTTTATTTTATTTAATAGTTACCGTTGGCAAACCGTTCCATCTCAAATATTGAATGAACTATAAACGTTTTTTGTTTTCTATATATACTTTTTTGTCCAACGGTAAAACTTTTTACACAACGGTTTTTGAGAGTCGTCGCTGTTGACTTTTTTGTAGAACACTCAAAATAGTATAACTTTGTCCGGACAAGTAAGGGTCTATCGTCGCTACAGGAAAAGTTACAGGCGTTCCAAGGAAGTATACTTTGAGAAGCCTTTTCCCCTTATAGAATGAGATAGGACCGTTATTTTACAAAACTGACAACACTTTGACCGAGTAGTTTTTTGTGCTGAACAAAAAGTGTCATATAAACATCTGTCAAAAAAGAAAGAAGAAGATTGGATCTCTAAAACTTCTTTATGTCCTTGTTCTGTTTGTGGTTGTTGTT